AGGCTTTTAGAGATAATTTAAGTCAATTTGTTAGAACGTTTAGTGGCTAATTGATTTCAAGCACACAAAAGTGCATATTGAGCAGTAACCTGTAATTCATTAGATTTTTTTTATTAGAACGAATCGTAGTTAAAGCTCTATTACTAGTTATAATATGAAATTGCCACTGGTAAATTCCATATATCGTTTGGGCACAAATATAGTAGTCATTCGGTTTACTAATCAGCAGGTTCTCAAAAATACATATATAACCATGTAGATATAAGCATTTCGCAAGCTTCAGCTGAGGAAATTGCGGCGCGTGTCTCATATATAGCGAATCAACTCTGCGAAATAAAGAAAAACATTGATTAAGGCTTAAGTAGCTGTTACAAATTTACTTACACTCCTGTTAGGTCTTAGTGGCCTGATTGTCGAGTAATCAGCTGGACCCAGCAAGAACCCGTTATCGCGAAAAGTGTGTACACCCATAAAATTTATTAGCCAACTGAGAGTTTAGCCGCTATAAGTGGCTTACATAGAGGTTCGTTTACTGCGCGAGTATTTACCCTTTCAACGCGTGGGTAAATGTCACCCAGAGAGACGCGAGCGCCCTCTGACTTCGTAAACACCGCTACATCAAACTTGCAACCGATTTGCGACATCCATTAAATGGATGATTCTATAATTCAGCAAGGGAAAGATAAGACTGACGAATGTTTCTTTTTTTAGCATTGAAGGCTCACAAAAGTTACCTATTTAACGAACAATATATCTAATTAGAGACAAGTTAGCAAATGCAGTTTCAGTGTGGCCCCATACATAAATGTACATTGCGCCCGTTCAAAATATTGAAAATCGCTACATTTGGTTAAATTCGTATTTATAGCCTATGGTCAATATGCCACGATGCTTCTATTTAGATTTCAATCCAGTTAGTAATAGTAGGATCTTTACTACATTACCTATCTAAAATTTTGTCTTTCGTTTAAATCTATTGACACAAATTTAGTACGATCAGCACCCGTGTTTCTTCGAACATAATAATAGTTTCAAGCTTAAGTTATCCTTAATCATTCTGCGAATCATATCGTACTTGTAGGTGGGGGGATCACAGTACTTTAGGCTGCAGACGTTAGTTAGTTAGAATCGACGCGAACAACTTAGCTTTCTGTCACTTCCTTTAAAAGTTAGCTGTTCCATAGATTTTGTTTGAATCTAATGCACAACAATTAGTGGGTAACATAGCCAGTAGGTTGACATATGTAGAAAACAGCCTAACTTCTATCTACGCGCCCGAAGAATAGTGCTTTGCGAGAAGCGGTCATTTGTAATTTCGCATTTGTCTCGTTTATTTTCCAAGCTAAACGTTAGTTATTCCCTATGAACGGAAACACTGCCTCGACCAAATCGAAATTTAGAAAAATCCTATGCAAAACGTTCAAGCAGATAGGATGGATCTTTGGCCGTTGACAACATACATAGTACACTAGATTTGATACCAAAACGGGCCAGGGGCCACTAAAAGAAATGAAATCAATAAAAAAGTCTCTAGAAGGAACGAGCCTAATGACGATTATTATATCGCTTCAAAATTACGCTAAAACTGAGCGACCCATTTATAAATCGATGCTTACAGAATTGAATTTCATATATAGTTTTCAGTTGTATGTTCGAGTCGTGAAAAGCAACTACATCCTCTAACTATCTAAACATACCTATAGAACAACACTTAAATGTGTTGTTAACAACAACTGTTAACTTGTTAACAACACTTCAACTAAAATGCCTCTTCGTTTTAAACTCTTTGTTTGATCTTTCGACTATACCAGAAGCATCGCCTTTTAAAACAGGTCGGCTTTTTTGCAACTGCTTCCTAAACTTAAGTTAGCAGCGGATGCTACTTTGAACTAGACGTCGCAAAATACTCACCGACCGCCGTCAACTGGTCTTATTTCATCGTTCGCAATTAGGCTGAGACCATAAAACTTATTTGCGTCTAAGGCAGGTTCCGATGGAAGGATTACCTTTAAACTGCTACAGCCTCTAGGAAATGATCGACTAATGACTAATTTCTCCAAAACAACTACGGCCAAGTCTTCATGCAGTTCGATCTGGTCCATGCATAGGCCGTATCTATGATAAGTTTTGCAACTAGTTTCCTACCTCTCAAAGCAGTCGTTGAGTGAAACGACGATATTCGTTTTCACTACCAAGTGGCTAAACGATAAACGGTCTCTAGAAATCGATTGGCTTCAGCCAAGAGAAATCCATTTAAATCGCCTTTGATTTGGGTTGTTCATGCAATTTCTATATCATGATTATACCTTATCGTCTCCATTGCGACTGACTGGAGAAAGACGATAACTGCCAAACGATGGATGGTACATTATGATATTAACATTGTCATTTTTGCTATCTACGAAACTGTCCAATGTCGGTGCTTCCGTCGAACGAACTTGAAAATGTTCACTAAAGGAAACTACTAGATTCTAACCCAGTTCCTACCAAAAAGGTGTTCATCTATGTTTCATATGAATTTCGTACTTTTTCTACGAAACCACGTATTTTCGCCAAGTTTCAACGCGCTCGCCTAAGATTGTAAGGAATACAACCGTACGTAAAGCACGGCGGGTTTACATGGACACAGGGCTAAATAAGGCACTGCATTTCTTTCAATATGGGAACGTAAGTTTTGAAATATAAGACTATCAAACGTTTAGCGTTCTTGAAACGTAAATAGTTCATGCGGTTTTTGTTACTGGATTGTTCTCCATCTGAATTCAAAAGGCTAAGACTTCACTGAACGTTAAATACATGATGAAAAAACAAAATAACCAGTTATTTTTATGCTACAATTTCAGAACTAGGTTTTCTGCCCGCGAACTGCATTTTATAAGAGTCGTGACATTGAGTTATATTACAAGTTCGCATTGATAGCTGCACGGATGTTTGTATTTTGGGTATCAATGAAGGCAGTAAGATAGATTTTACAATCCGGATACAACAGGATACGATCGAATGCTAGCTTGTCAGCGTATCTTGAAGAACTCTATAGATAGGAGAGGAAACGTGACGACCGTTTTTGCATAATCATCATAAAGACTATAATCACTATCACGCATTATCGGTTACGAAACGATTTTTGATTATATCAGATTGCCACTAAATGATTATGAAGCACCATTTTCTTTTGTTAGAATCATAGCTTCTCTAGTAGAACTTTGCCAAAATGCATATTTCTTTGTACAAAGCCTTTGATGGGCCTGTATGTTTACCTTCGGCAACATACAACCCTATTTTTAAGCCTACCTGAATTGACAATATGGCTGTCTTTGAGCACAATATCGAGGAGTCTTGGGCAACGACTCGGCTTGCTTTATAATTCAAAATTTTCATCTCTTTGTTCACGGAAATGTACCGCTTGACTCTTCCTCTTGTCGTGGTATACCAGAATAGGATTCATAAACATTTTTATCGTCTGTTATCATATGTAAAAATGCATTAAAAGTCTAGTATAAAGGCTATAAATAAACATCATAGGCAAAACGGCCTGAGTCAATTCCAATACCAACCGCTATCACAGCAACTACGATATTAAAGTTAGGCAAAACAAACACTTCATCTAGGTTCAGAGCTGAATATACTTTTAAAGTGAACTAATCAACGGTAACTTTTAGCATTTTAATAAAAAAAAGCTCAAACATACGAATGTTTGATTATTCCAATTCCTTTATTATAACGTTAAATGACATAAATATTAACGTAAATTTATGTGGGCAGGGTGGTATCACACGTGCCTTTAGTATCACATGCATGATAAAATAAAGAAGCTTTTAAAATATGGTATAGCCTCGGCCTTTTCGTCGATACGCGCTTCTTTCGTTGAGCTGATTTTTTAGTACCTTGACGTTTATACTTTCATCAATGTTTTTATGTATTTTGCATATTGTTGTATTGCTGGCCGGTTGTGTCTTTTTTTTTTTTTTGTTAAAGTACTTTTTTTGAGATACCATAAAGAGTACGATAGACACGTTTGCGCTTTCCGTTTTGAACTTGGAAAAGGCATTTTATTGCAAAGATTTATACCATTCTTTGTTTAAAAGCGAAGGTACTAGCTTCTTGTCGATGCTCATAGCCTAAACGTGAAAGTAAATTCAGTTACCGAATTATTTGAATGATTACAAAGTTCATCGAGGCATGATCCATCGTTTGTCGAATCCAGCACAAAACTAGGGTTACAAACAAAGGCGTTCAAAGATACACGGTTTTGACATTGCTTCCCATTGGCCCGCATAGCTCGAACTTCATGTAATACGAATTTCTCTCTCGGACAAATGTTTTGGCATGGCACCAAGATATACAATGACGATGTCTAAGCTAACCCAATTGACCGTTGGGGAAAATTGCCCCATTTCCGGGTCCATTGAATAAAAACAAGAACCGGAACAATCTAACTTTTGTTGCAATGCTGGAGCAAAAGGAATAGGCTCACTAATGCGGAACTAATATTACTCAAATATGTAACGAAGTAACAAAATTCAATATGAGCATATTGAAGCTCGAGCATTCGCATGCTAGTGAGGATCCTTTTATATTAGAATATATATATATTATAAATATAGCTAAAGAACGGGCTAGTCTGCCATATTTTCGACTTGAATGTTGGTCAGTGATAGTTTAGCGAGCGAATAGAGACACGTGTTGGTCTAGACTTGGATACGAACATGGACATGTTTAGTTTCGCGTTGCAAGTCAGTCGTATGATGAATACCTCGGACGTAAATCTCGAAACATTAAAATCTGAATCTAAACAAACATCGTTTATCGTTGCTGATTAACTCTTCTCAAGCTAAACCGACAGGTCTAAATAACATAATATGAATATATCGACCATTTTCGAGCTGAATTGCGAGGGTGATTGAGCCGCACGTTTAAGATGTCAGCCTACAAGTATGTAATCCTTTCTTTCGACATTTCCCCTTGCAGGTCTCTGTCACAACAAAAGTGATTAACATTTACAGGCTACGGCTGCAGCAGTAATGTAGTTCAATGGACACTTTCAGTTGTAGTATGCGTGTGCCTGAAAGAGACCGTTGAGGGTTTCTGGTCAAAGGAATGGGCCATTGAGCTAGCAGCATATACAGGGGACACGTCTAACAAGTCGTTGAACGCGCGCATTAGAACTGTACTGCTGGACGATTTCTAAGCCTCACGCCAGTAATGGCAGTGAAGTCCATGGAGTACCAGATTAACCGAGTGACGACTGTGCACCATAGGTAAGTATCTGTTATGAAAGAGCTAGAACAAAATATCGAACAGATTATTATATATATATATATATATACGCATGTTTCAAGAAATTGAACATCCTCGATTTTCAACGATTTTCTTGAAGCACAAAACTGACTACAAATTTTAACTCAAGGATATCTTGTCGTTTGATTTGAAGCAGCTTGCGTATTTTAGGCAGATTTTTGTAATTGTTGCAAGTAATATTATTTGGAACTATTATTATTTAAACAGCTTTCCTAGACATACGTTGTGCTTCAACCTAGCAGTCTCACTTCGTCTTAGGGCGGCTCTTTTACATGCCGTACCACACCGTAACACGTACTGGGGATAGGAACTGCGACTTCCCGGTGGAAACAAACACTGGGGCCGCACGTATGTTCTTATTAGAGCAGGAGACAGGGAAAGTAATAAAATGCAGGATAATTTCGCTAATCTCAACGCAGTAAACAGAATGAGGCAACGAAACTCACTCATAATCTAGGGTGGAGCACTTACTATAGGTCACACGCTTCGGTACCTTTCTGTGGGTTTCATTAATTAGATTAAAAGATAATAAGCATAAAAGTACATCGAGTTTGATTGTCGAAAGCAAGCATACGAAGTTATCGCGGTAAAATAATCGCTCATCTGCTAAAACGACGTAAACACAGACGAAACATTTCCAGGAGGCTGATGAGAGAAAAAAAAAAACAACTTTCGATGCCCGCTGATCTGTTTGTGTCCGACGAATTCGTCATTGTGATTACCAAGAGGTGCTACGAGCTATGAATGCTACGAAAATTACCCAAAGAAACGTCTCTGATTCGTATCGTTTCTAATGTGTGTATTAATTGTATATGAAATGTTCTGAATATCGATTCACGCTAATTTACAAATCTGCCACAACTTGTCCAGCATCGATCAGCGAACGTAGCTCTGCTACCCCTAAGAAACCGGCTTCAACCCTCGTTGCTTACGTTTCTGCTTAGCTTTATTACAGCAAGCGAATTATCGACGACGGCTCAGCAAGGATCTTTTACCTCATATTGTAATATTTGCTTACGTACATATGGTACTAGGTTGCTTTTAAAAATTCCCCTTAAAGGACTCACACACTCCAGTGCTGCTAGAGACATCCTATCGACTATGTCTAGTTGCAGTATTCAGTTTCCTAGAGATGTCTAAACCTTCACAATTGTAGAACTTCTAAGCAGATTTTGGCTAACTTGAACCACATGACTAGCACTATTTCTTTATAATTTAATTCCACTAAATGACAGGAATATGCGATATCGACCTTTTCAAATAACCACAGCAGGCATGGCTATCGATGATGCCAGCTCACAAACGATACTCCTATACACCAACGAAAATCGATAGATCTCACCTCTGTACCTGGGCTATATTCAGATGGCACGATTTCTCAATTCCTTTTTGATTCCCCCTTAATTCAACCTTCTATTCACCAAATGTGGTATTTCTTAGACAGATAAGCATTTGTGCCATTACGTTGTTCTTGATCCCGGAACGGCTGTTATTATTGATGGGTATTCCGATAAGGTTAGTGTCCTTCCGGACGCGTCCTTACCTTTCTTAGATAGCACGGATAGATGTCGTTTATACGCCTTCGCTGTTGCTGGCACTTAGCTGACGTCTGGTACCGCTCGCTTAATTTGTATCGCGGGACAGTGACTCTTCCGCGCTTTGTCTAACGATCTTCTATACGCTTCCGCAAGAATTGAAAAAAAAAAACGTTCGATGTGCGATGAAAACGAGACCGGTGTCTCCTCATCACTATAACAGTAGCCTCTCTTTGTCTTTGTTCGATGACAAATTATCTAATAATAGTAATAATAATCATTATGACTATATAATGATATGGCATGATATTATCAACAAAATGGACTCCCACTCCACTCGGCCTAGGTGTCACTTAAGCGAAGAACCACTTTGTTTGTCGTCATCGTTGTAGATGTTTCCTCGGCCAATGGATTCGGTCTCATTTTCGATTATTTGTCCAAAGTGTTACAAGCGACGACAACCTTTAACCGTCACGAAAACAAATGCACGAAACTTTTTTGGGTTTGAAAGATTCACAGACTTAATATGAACATAGTAGACATTGAAAACATTAGGAGGAGTCAACGTTTGCGAAAAATCCAAGGAGTGGATAAAAGTTTGAACTTGATATGATATCATATTTTAACCAGACCCTAATTAAATATACGGTTCCGCGATGCCAGTTGCACCCATGTCACTTTTGGTTGCTTGACCACCTGTGTTGACGTTTACGCCATTGTGACATAATGGGGTTAGGTTTACTGCGTTTCACCGGACGTAGAAATCCTATCAGAAGGAAACTTCACAGGAAGAGGGTTAATTAATAAAAAGTAAGTTGGTAATATTTGGGTATCTTAGTCAAAATCTGCACAACTTTTACCCTTCCACTTGACAACGTACCTCTACGTGTTCTTTATGAAGAAGCAATTTTTAGAGTTGTAATGCTCACCAAAATCATCTTTTCATTAAAATAAACATTAACTTGATGTTTCATAATAGCGGATATAATGGATTTGAATAGATTGATAATTTGATGAGCCGGACACAACTGGAACAGAGCGTGACCTTAGTTCATTGGACGTATTGTCTCTACCCAGCATAAATTGGCAATGATCATGATGAATTCTGTCCCAGCCGAGTCGAACATATGTAACCCGTGTTGTTCGTTAAAAAAGTCAGTTTGAGATAAATACAAATATAAACGTATGATCGTCATAAGAGTGTTTTTACTATTTTATGCAAAATCAAGCGGCATGTACGTGCCCCATGTTTTAACCAAAGCTGAAACATTTCCCAGACATCGTTACCCTGCAAAATCTGACTATCTAAGCGTTACACTAAGTTCGGCCGAAACGACTTTAATCCAAAGTCGTTCATACAGAATCCCGGAATAAACTTTCTATCGAACTTGCTAGATATTCGTGGGTATGCTCCAATGTGAGTATGATTCAATAAGTTTAGCATGTATCCGACCGTAATCTAACGGAAAATTGACTTAAACGATCTTGAATATTAGAAACCCATACAGAATTTATTAATACTGGGAAAAACGTATGCATATATATATATATATATATATTTCGATCCAAATAAGTTATACCCAGTTCTAAAAAACCGTATCCTATAGGTCGAACTGTAACGGCCACTAAGACACAACATTTTTTAATTTAACGACAATTCTCGATTACTCAGATTTATTCAGTTTCTACTATGCAACTTTTCCATAGTAATGTCAAGGAAAAACGTTAAGATCAACTGTCGATTGTGCATTTGATAAAATACATTTATAAAGAACTGACAAGATAAAGTACTCTTAATGATACGGAAACGCTTTGTAAATCGCTAAGTACTTAAACTAAACATTTTGAACGTTACGTTCGACACTGCTATTAGGCGTTTTATTCATAAACATTTACGAATTGCTGCTTTCTATGAAGCCGAGTTGTGGTACTTCGACGCAAAAAAAACGTTACTTTAAAACCAGGCTAATTTTTTCGTTTCAATCTAAAGGACGAGTTGTGTCTGCTTTGATTGTTTTGGTGTTATTGGTGTACTTATGTACAACGGCAGCCTTCGAGATTTCGATGACTAATTCATTAAAACTGGTTCGGGACAGAGAAAACGGTATTCCTCTGCTAGTTGAGAATTGACCAGATCCTGCTTCAGATAGCAAGTTTTGCAAAATCTGTTATTGGGTTTATCGGCTCAATAACAACTAAATCTAGCTATTTAAAATGACGAGTCAATATTCATCAGTAAAAATCGACAGGTTTTTGCAGCAGTAGACGCTACGAGTCGTGCAGACCGTAAGACGCAATACACGGCCTAGTTTTTTTTTAATTAACACACGATCAGCCGCCGTTAATAGTCTCATCTAAGCTCGATTGCTGTATATGTATAATCAAGCCATAAAATGAATAATATAACGTTGTTAAGGAGATGCCCAGAGGGTGTCGGCATCAGAATGAAACATTATATATGATATAAGCCCACTGACACCATTATGTTTTATATAGGCCACGCCATTTCCCGTCCAAAGATTACATGGCTAAGTCATGGGCTAATGGCCTTCTTCACTGTTAGCCTTGTTAAGTGTTTCCTGAACGGAAAATAATTATTTTTTTTCGGTTGAAGGCAAATCGACGACCGCCCTGATAGAAACAGTTAATAGCCAGAGAGGGCATTTGCTTAACGACATCGTCATCCAATGTATTAGGCCCAGCTATAGCTTCCGCGTTTTGCACACTCTACGCAACTGTAATAATCCCAAATGATCTGTTGATCTAACTTCCTCGATTTGATGAATTGCAAAAATATTCTACTTTGGCTTTCTATGAACGGAATTGTCACCTCAACCTTTAATACGCATAAAAGTAATTTTTCCATAAAGTGATTTTTGCAAAATGCCAGCCACTGATTAGATAGACAACTTTCATTATAGCTGTACCCATGGCTGTATTCATCGTCTCTATCAAGACGAGAATTATAATTCACGGTGCACTATAAGGGCTATATAGTACACACGTGATCGTAACCATATAGACGAACAATGAGGACTCCTGAAGGTTCAGCAAATACGAGCCGAAATGCTCAGATGTTGCTACTCATCACCGCTTCGAGCGTAAAAGACAATGCGTTCGCCTCGTGGGCCTCCTTCGACGCTGGTCCATCTACATTGGTAGATACTACATTGGTAGGGCAAGCGCACAGCCTGTCTTTGGCCGATTGCTTTGCTAATAGAAGGTGTAGCAATTCTATGTAGCGCAAGTTAAATATGCAGGTAGCCTTAACTGGCTCAGTATGAAATTACCGTAAAAACAGTCAAGGATATACTGAGCTGCGAAAGAAAAATTTGTGCCGTTCTATATTGTAACTCGTTTCCAGAATTTTTCTAAGCACTAAATACATTTCAAACGAAATGACACCGTGAAACCAAACCTACAAA